AATTGAAGCAACACCAAAAATACATTACTGGGATCTGATCAAACTAAAAAGTTTCTGCACAGCCAAGAACACAGTAAGTAAAGCAAGCAGACAGCCCTCAGAATGGGAGAGGTTATTTTCATGTTATACTTCTGACAAGGTTTGATAACCAGAATCCACAGAGAACTCAAACTTAATGAGAAAAGAACAGGTAATCCCATTTCATTGTAGGCAAGGGACTTGAACAGATGCTTCTCTGAAGAAGATAGGCACATGACCTACAGACACATGAAATAATGCTCATCATCTTTAATCATCAGAGAAATGCAAGTCAAAACCACTTTGAGATACTATCTAACTCCTGTAAGAGTGGCTCACATAATAAAATCCCACAACTACAGATGTTGGTGTGGATGTAGAGAAAAGGGAACACTTCTGCACTGCTGGTGGGAGTGCAAGCTAATATGTCCCTTTTGGAAAGAAGTATGGAGAATAGTCAGTGATCTAAAAGTAGACCTGCTATTTGATCCTGCAATTCCTTTATTAGGTGTATATCCAAAAGACCAAAAATCGCTTTATAGCAAAGATATTGCACCAGATTGTTCATTGCAGCTCAATTCATAATCGCCAAATCATTGGGAAGAAGCTTAAGTACCCATTGACCCATGAAGGGTTTAGTAAATTGTGGTATATGTATACCATGGAATATTATGCAGAGTTAAAAAAGATGGAGACTTTACCTCTTTCACATTTACATGGATGGAGCTGGAACATATCCTTCTTAGTAAAGTATCTCAAGAATGGAAGAAAAAATATTCCATGTACTCAGTACTATTATGAAACCAATTCACAATCACTCATACTTTCATATGAAGAATAGATCACAACTATGGCCCAAGATGAAGGAGGAAGAGATGGAAGAGGAAGGGGGAGGTCAGATCGAGGAGGGGTGAATGGTGGGATCACACCTATGGTGCATAATGCAAGGGTACATGTCAGATCTATTAGTATAGAGTATAAATGTCTTAACACAATAACTAAGTAAATGAGATGGGGTATATATTAACCAGTGTGATGTAAGCGTTCCTAATTCTATATGAAATCAGCACACCGTACCCCATAAATGCATTAATATATACATGATCTATGTGTTTATTATTTAATTAAAAAAAAAAAAACAACCTTTTGTCAATTGTTGAAAAAGCATGTTTGCTCCCTCCAGAAAGGCTTCAAGAGGAAAGAATTTTGTTGTTTATACCAAACCAGGCCCAATTTAAAAGTTGGGAATTTTTGTGTGTGAATTATACTCTTATGCTTCAGGTATTCCACTTATGACATGATTCTCAAATCCAATTTTGTGTTACTATCCTTTGGCTAGCATTCTTCCATCCTGACTTGTCTGTTATTATAGTTCATACTGGGGCTCAGACGATCAAATCATGAGGCAGTGGCAAAGCAGTTTCAATTTTTTTTGGTGATCTGGAATGCTCTTTCTACCTTTATACTCATTCACAGCTCAACGTAGGTGGGTTGTAGGAAGAAAACAAAATGAATGATTAATGTTGAGAAAGAGGAAGTAGGCTCAGCACCTGTAGCTCAGCAGCTAGGGCGCTGGCCACATACACCAGACCTGGTGGGATTGAATCTAGCCCAGGCCTGCCAAACAACAATGACAACTACAACCAAAAAATAGCCAGTCATTATGGTGGGTGCCCATAGTCCCAGCTACTTGAGAGGCTGAGGCAAGAAAATTGCTTAAGCCTAAGGATTTGAGGTTGCTGTGAGCTGTGATGCCACAGCATTCTGCCCAGGGTGAAAGCTTGAGACATTGTCTCAAGAAAAAAAAAAAAAAAAAAAAGGAAGAAAAAAAGGGAAAAAGAAAGATGAAGTGGACAATTCTAATTTCCTCCTATCTCAAGCCCTGATGTAGTCACTCATTTAAGAACTTTCCTTCACATTCTTTCTCCAAGATCCACCCTTATTCCCACCACACTTTTCATCACTTTGGATTCCTTTAAGTTTTGTCTATAAGTCTTATGGTAATAAAAATGGAAGGGCTACTTACAAGATTGTTACAGACATTGATCACCACCAGCTCAAAATTGTAGTTTTTATCTTTGAGCAAAGACGGTGTAGACCACTTTAATTGTGTGGTGCAGATTTCTAATGTATATTTACATGCCTGTGAGACAGAAAAATGTCAGTGAGGATCTGTTCATCTATTGTTACATATAATTGTGATTCTCTATAAAATTAGGATAAACAAGATTAGATGACTTACATTAGCTACTCTTGTCTCGTTATCCTCCAAAAACAGGATCAGGGGCACCAAGGCTCCTAGGATCACATCGTTCAACATCCACGTGTACTCACTCATATCTTTGAGTAATCTACCAAAGTGTCGAATGGCTATGCTCCGAACGCCTCCGTTAGTCTGGAATATGCACACAGACCAAGAAAAAGGCCTCACTTGAGGATAATATTAGTGCTTCTTTGTTTTATCAGTGGGATACACATATGCATACACACACACACAAAATATGTAGAGAGTGTGCCAAAAAGCTTATACACATTTTAAGAAAGGGAAAAACTGCATTAAAATTGTAATATTCAGTATATCAATATATATTGATCTTTATTATCTTGTGTATTTTATCTTGTCTCTCTTATAATTGCAGAAGTCAAACGTGACTTGAGTATTATATGTATATATAAAAATATATTACATGAAATTATTATCATTTATTTTTAGGAAAGTTCTCCCTTGAGTCTAAGTACTTAGCTCTTCTTTTAAAATAAGATTTGCTTACCAAGTAGTCACAATAGTCAAGATAGGGAATCAGCCTAAGTATACATCAGTGGAAGAATGAATGAAGAAAATGTGGTATATGAACAGGATAGCGTATACTTCAGCCTTAAGAAGAAAGAAATCTTATCATTTATGACAAATAGAGAAATCTGGAGGTTTATCATGCTATGTGAAAACAGCCAAGCACAGAAAGACAAATACAGCAGGATCTCACTTATATGAGAAATCTACAAAGTTTGAAGGTATAGAAGCAGAGAGTAGAAAAATGGTTGCCAGGGGTATCTGGGGAAGTTGGAGGGAAGGATGTTGACCCAAAGTTTCAGCTAGGATGAATAATTTCTCAAATCTGGTGTGCAGCAGGGTGAACCATGGTTAATAATAATGCATTTTATACTTAAAACTTGCTAAGAAATTAGATCATAAATGTTTTTACCACAGGAAAAAAGTGACATGTGAGGTGAAGGATGTGTTAATTAGCTTGATTTAATCATTTCACAATGTATACATATATCAAAACATTACATTATACTCTCTAAACATATACAATTTTTATGTCTCAATTCATATACTGGACGTGGTGGGTTCAGACCTAGCCCTGGCCAAAAATAGCAAAAAAAAAAAAAAAAAAGAAAGAAAACCCACATAAATAAATAAATAAAAATAAAAAATAAAGCTGGGGAAAATATTTAAACTGGTATATATATATAAAAAGATTTACTCACTGAAATTCAGATTGTGTTAAAAAAAATCTCCCATGAAAAATGAGTTTCTTAAATTCAGGAAAATGGTAAGTATTTAATAACATCCTGAAAGTATAAACTAGAATAATCTTTATAACTTGAGGATGATTTTTAATAATGTAACCATGCTTTATTCAAATGCTAGAGAACTTTGTAGAGTTGCCACTGAGTAACAATAGGACTTCTTTGCTTATCGGCCTAGAACCACATTTACAAGGGTTACTTATGCCAGATAGAAAGGTGACTGAATTATAAGCCTCTGGAAAAGAGAAATTACAAGTCAGAAGAAGAGACTAAAAAAAAAAAAGAACATACCTTCAAGTTTAAAGTAAATGTTTATGATATTATTTAGAAAATAATTTTTCATATGAGCATTCCAACTACTTTATTGGTTATATGACCTTGGCCCAATATTGACTTTTCTTTGCCCCAATTTTCTTATACTGAAACTGGATAATAGTAATAGAGTTGTTTGGAGATTTATATTTGTTTTCTTTGGAATAAATATATTTTACAATAAATATATTTTAGCTCATGTAAATATCTTAGAAAAGTGTCTGGTACATAGTAAGTGCTCAATAAATTAAGCCACTGTTATTATTACTATTATTATCATTATGTCTTTATAAAAATCATTCTTGTCATTAAATTTCTTCTTTCTATAACAATATGTTCCTCTTTTCTATAATTTAATACTAAATTAAATAATAATTTAATAATATTCATTCTATATGAATATAATTTAATATTCATTGAAATATGAATAATTAAAAATATAACTTTTGGCAAGATAATTTACTATGAGATAATTCTCTGGCCCACAAATACCTTATCATGGAAGTTTTTAAAAATACATGGATTCCCCTTGGCATACCAAAGTGTTCTTATTTATTAAAATGTGTTACTCTCATTCAACTTTTCTGGAACATATTGAGAATTTTCAAAATGCATAATTTTCTGATGAAATACTTTTTAATTAAAGTTTTATGCAATCATAACAAGAATTTATTTGGGATATGATACATACCAACTCTAATCCTCATGATAAACTTACTACTGTCTCTGTTTTACTGATGGGGAAAATAATGCACCATGAGATTGAAGAAGACCTTTGTTCCAAGATTTCACAGCTAATAAGGGGCAGAACAGGGATTTGAACCTAGACAGTCCAGATCCAGTTAACCAATCTTTAGCCACTGAGGTATAACTTCTCTTTCATCTCAAGGATAGAGGCTATCCTTTGATTCTCTTTTTTTCTTTTCTTTTGGCTGGGCCCGTGTTTGAACCCACCACCTCCAGTATATAGGGCCGGTTGCCCTACTCCCTTGAGCCACAGGCGCTGCCCTGATTCTGTTTTCTAATGGGAAAACTTTCCAGGTTCTCACAATGCAGCTTAAAAAAGAAAAAGAATGGTACTTAGCTAATATTATTATCTCTAGAAAGGAAATGGTGGCTCCTTACATAATAGCTATTTTCTGTTGATTTATTTTGGGATATAATACCATTGCCTCAATTGGAGCTTCAGCTGAACCACAAAACATAACAACCTCACACATCTGACTGTGCAACTCACATGATCTATCAGAGGGAGGTAACTGGAAGCAATTCTGACGCATAAAGATGAGTAGTCCGACTTGTCCAGTCTGGTTAAAAGTCTTCGGAGTGTGAACATAGCCCGAATTGCAACCGTCTTGTCTATGGAAAGGAAGGCATCCAGGATGGATAGTAACAAGCTGTTGACATTTTCTATCTATATATAAAAGGAGGAAAATTGTGAGATTTTGGAACTAGAAACAGACTTGTGCTGGCATTTGGCATGCACATTGTGGTGTGCTGGAGCTCGCTCACAAAAGACCATTGTCAAATTGTCAAAAAATTTGAAAGCTGATTGTTAAAACAAGCCATTATTGAAAATAAAACTAGATGAGTTTAGAGTTCAATAAAAACAATGACAAAAAAATACTCAAAAATGATCACTTTCTAATTCTTTTGTTACATTTTACTAGTATCTATGTTCTTGAGATTATTTATGTGTCATGCATTTAAATGGTGGGAATGTTAAGTAATAGGCCATTGTGCTACTCTTCCCAATTCCATGTTTATGACATCCCTTTGATAGCTTGAAATTGGCCATGCTGGGAATATTTACACCAGGGAAATTTGTCTGATTTCCAGAAAGTTGGTTGTTATGACCTGTTTGGACAGGAGAGTTGCTGAGTAGCTGAGTTAGGTTATGGGAGGCAACTGCACAGCAGAGCCAAATAGAATTAAAGGCAAGAAAAAACATGAAAAGGAGACGCCGAAGAAGAGAAAGGCACATAAAACGGAGTAGAGGGAATGAATAAATATTTGCCCAAACAATATCTTTATGGAGGAAAAAACAGAGTTAAGGACTATGTCAGTACCAGAAACCACTTGTGTCTTTGCCAATAGTATGTGAAATCTCAACCCAGATCACTCTCCACTGCTTTCCTTTCATTTGAGCTAGCCTTGACACAGAATCTCGCTTTCAGTTGTTGATAACATTGAAAAGAGCTCTGGGCAGAGCAAGAAATAACTTGTTGCTTACTAAAGGAATGCTTAGTGTTATTATAACAAACCTGTTGACTTATGTGATTTTAAAGCAAACAGACCATGGCTTATGTCATTCTAAATGCAAAATGGGTGTCCACTGATAGGTTTAAACTTTCAGAAACTATGCTCAATAGAAAAATAAGAATTTATTATTAGATTTATTATTAAATCTATGATTTACAGAACACTGACAGTATCAGCACTGTACAGTACAGTGAGACTTAGAAGGTAAGAAGTATTCACATCAGTTGGTGGGAAACAATATATGAAAGTGGTCGTCAGCCTTTAACCTGCATTAGTCACGTGGAGGATTTTTGGAAACAGATTGGTTGGCCTCATCCCTAGAATTTCTTGTTCTATAGGTTTGGGCTTTTTATTTTTTAATTTTTCTTAAGTTTCAGAATAATATGGGGTACACATGTTTTGGTTACATAATTTGCTTTTGTACATTTTACATTCAAAGTTGTAAGTGTGGCCTTCACTAAGAAAGTGTGTATTGTGTGTGTTTGGTGTAAATTGACCCATTCCTTCTTCCTCCCTCCTACCTACTCGATTTCTGTTGAGATTTACTTCCATATGTGCACGTAAGTGCTGATCAGCTAGTTCCAATTTAGAACTGAGTATATGCAGTATTTGTTTTTCCATTCTTCAGACATGGACAGTTTGTATTTCTAACAAGTTTCCAGATGAGGTTGGTCCCACTGGTTCAATAACGACACTTTGATGAAAGAAATATTGAGAATACTCAAAGAACTCAAAATAGAACTTTCATTTGATCCTGAAATCCCATTATTAGGCATCTACCCAGAAGAAAAAAAAATATTTTATTATAAGGACCTTTGCACCAGATTGTTTATCGCAGCTCAATTTACAATTGCCAAGATGTAGAAACAACCTGACTGCCCATAAAGCAGGAATGGATTAACAAACTGTGGTATATGTATACCATGGAATACTATTCAGCCATACATGATGGGGACTTTACATCTTTTGTATTAATCTGGATGGAGTTGAAACACAGTCTTCTTAGCAAAATATCACAAGAGTGAAAAAGCAAGTACCAATGTACTCAGTAGTAATATGAAGCCAAAAGATGATCTCATGCACACCCACATAAGAGAAAGACTCATTTCAATTCAAGTTGGATGGGAGGGCGAATGAGGGGGGAAGAGGCTGGGTGTGCTCACGCTTAATGGGCATAATGTAAGAGTATATGGCACACCTCTTGGGTGTGGGACACAACTACAACAGTGACTTTACCTCACAAAAGCAAACGTTGTAACCTAATTGTACTCTCACGTTAATCTGAAATTTTTAAAAAGTTAAAAAAAAAAAAAGAACTGCACTTTAAGGACCACTGATATAAAATAATATGAGTGTATATTACATATTATATATTTTATATACATAAATAATAAGTAAGTAATTGCATGATTTCTGCCATAAATAATAAGTAAGTAATTTCATGATTTATGCCATAAATAATAAGTGGTCATCATTTTTATGGCTCTGAGAGAATAAAGCTCCTGGAGATCAAAATATTTAGTGCAGTTTGACTTGAGCTGATCTTTGAAAAAGGAGGAAAATGTGAATATGTATGTGTTAAGGAGGAAAGTGTCACGAGTGGAAGAAAATGCTTGAGTGCTCTGAGATAGAAGTAATGTGTGTGTGTGTGAGGTGTTGGAGGGACGTGATGTGTGTAGGGTATAGACAGTAAGAAGAGTGTTCCTGTAGAGCAATGATGACAAAATCTGAATGCAATGAATAATTTTCTCCAAAATAAATCAAGTGATAAAGCCACTGAATTACCTTAACATATCCTTTCCATTCAACTCAGTTTTCTTACTGATAAAGCACCAGGCTTTGATATTGTTTAACTATATGGAAAGTGACAAATATCCATGTTTTATCAGTAAAGATACTGAGGAATATCAAAGTCATATGTTATGACTTTGTTGGTCCTGGCGGACACAAATCACACACACACATACCTCATTGACAACTGGTGCCATGTTGGCAATTTTCTGAAGGCTCAGTTTGCTAACTGCAGGGTTTAAATCATTGATCCAGTTTCTGAAGAGGACCAAAAACTCTTCTGGGAACGGATCCTTGAAAAAGTTATTCAGAAGCTGAAAGAAAATAATTAAGTTCATAAGCATAATATAGGCCTAATTGCATAATTTCTGCCATAAAAGTCAAGATATTTTTAGTAAAACTAGGACATAAATTTCACTAAAACTCCATATACTTATACATAGCCTTACATTCATGTCTTCATTCATAGCAAGATAGGGAAGAAATAGCAATCAGGATAGGAAATAGATGCTTAGCTTTTTAAAATTTAAATACATAATATATATTTAATTTCCCTCCATGGTTAGAAACTGAATGTCTCAACTTAAATTACTCTTCTAGACTGTAGTCAGGTGGGTGAGTTTCCTTGTGGTATATATTTATATATGCTAAAATGTGATGTCTAGTACAAATCAGGCACTGTACTAATAAATGCAGATACAGTGGAGAGCAAAACAGTTACAATCCATGACCTTGTGGACCCTACAGACCAGCTGAGGAGACTAAGACTGTATAATGACACTATACTATGTGCTCTTCTAATGAAAAAAGAATTGCTAACTGTGATCAATACTAGGAAGGAAAGCTATTACCAGATGCCATACAACATTTACGGGAATATCAAATTTAGATGGTGTATGACAGATTGTATTTAGAAAAACAAATGTGATATTTAGATTTGGACTTGAAAACAGAGTTGGTATTAGTTAGATAAGTATTCGGAGAAGACACATCCAGGGAAGGTGACCCATGTGCGAAGTCTCTGAGGTAGATGAGGTAAGGTGTGTCTGAGCACCTGAAAGTTGATGATACGGATGTTGGGAAGAGAGGAGATTGAAAGTGGATGAGCCTCCAGGGCAGACAAAGGTGGTGGCCCAGGACCTGGAGGCCAGGGTGGGGGGGCTTAGTATTTTATGGCTAATACCCCGAATGGAGGCATGGCTATTGTAAGCCTTCATGAATTTAATAATTGGCAGCCAAATACACTTATTTTAAAAGTCTCTTAGGAACACAATTTAAAAAAAAAAAACACTTTTCATGGAAGAATGTAAAATATAACTAAGATGAAGAACAGAAAGAGAGAGGGAGAGAGCAAGGCAGTGAAAGTGAGTGTGAGAGCCAGACAGGATGGAGGAGAGACTGTACCTTTGTCCTGAAACTTTCAAAGAACTTACATTCTTATTAAGTACCAGATCAAAAATTATTAACTTCCCCAAGGAAAAACACTTAAAAACACCTTTTTAAAGAGCGTGGTATAATAAAAGAGGAAAGTTTAAATGGAAAAAGAAGAAAGCCTATAAGGAGTTGGACATGTAAGAGAACCTTCTCCTTTATGGTTCAAAATCTTAAACCACAGAGGAAAGCAAACATACAATAAGGATTAACATAAAAACAATGGCTAATAATGGAAATTACATAATAACAGTTATTGGAAGTAAATACATAATTAGACTTTAAATACTTTAATTAAAAAGTTAAAATGAACAAATTATTTCCTGAAATTAAGAGAAAGAAAATATGACCAAAAAAAAGTACTAAAGAAAATTAGTGGCTCAGTGCCTGTGGCTCAAGTGGCTGAAGTGCCAGCCACATACACCTAAGGTGGTGGGTTTGAATCCAGCCTGGGCCTGCCAAACAATGATGGCTGCAACCAAAAAATAGCGGGGCATTGTGGCGGGCACCTGTGGTCCCAGCTACTTGGGAGGCGGAGGCAGGAGACTCCCTTGAGCCCAGGAGTTGGAGGTTGTTGTGAGCTGTGATGCCACAGCACTCTACCCAGGGCGACAGCTTGAGGCTCTGTCTCAAAAAAAAAAAAAAAAAAAGAAAGAAAGAAAGAAAGAAAGAAAGAAAATTGGTGTAAGAAAATAATAAAGATAAAAACAGAAATCATTGAATTAGGAAACAGAAACAATACAATTAATGAATCTAATGCTGTGTGCTAGGGGGAAAAGCCAATAAAACAAATAGAAATTGACCAATATAATATAAATAATAACAAGTAAAATGAACAGTGTAAAGAAAGTATGGAATGTATTAAAAGTATAAAGAGAATATCTGTGTTAGTGGGTCTTAGAACCCATAGTATTGTCTGGGGGCAGCTTTTATGTTACACATGCCTGGGTTTCATTCATGTAGACTCTCCAGGGGTGGGCCCTGGATTACAATTTGAAATTCTGAGTGAAATAAATTATTTCCTGGAAAAATATAAAAAATTCCCAAACACAAGCCAGAGACAATTAGATGATTGCAACAGATTAAGAACAATAGAAGACTGATAATTATCAATGTGTCATTTCTAAACAGGAACAGAGCAATTCTTTTTGAATGATTAGCACACATCAAAATGTAAAGGTGCGTTTTCTTTTTATAATTAATGAGTAGTCCGTGGGGGGTAATTTGGTGCCACGTGAATATTCTTTTTCCCCAATAGCATTTCATTCAGTTGTTTTCAAGTCCATTGATGACTTTTTCTGGACTCAGTTGTTACCATAGGGCTTACAAAAGGGTGATTTGCCACTTCTAATATTCTTTCCACTCCTTTAACTTTTATTGGCCAGCATCTGTCTCTCTGCCTGTCTCTGTCAATTTCTGTCTCTGTCTCTTCTCGTTCTTCCTTTTTGGTACCCTTGAGAATTTGTGCAGTTTTAAAAACGCTTTCAGCATATTACAATTATTTACAGTTACTATTCCTTTTGATGCTCCAAATTGGCTAGCAGACGTCACTTCAAGTCAACTCTTACATCCCTTTGACACACTCTGTTTGGCTGTGTATCTTTCGCTCCTGTGTGTGACGCACACCCACATTTTTGCCCCAAACTTTGAGGAAAAGAATCATTTATTTTAATTTTTTAAATTCAAGTTATTTGTGTCTATCTAGGTTCTTGATTTTTGTATTATAAAAGGAATCTTAGCATTTATTTTTTAACATATTTTGGTACAAAAAATCTTACATAACAAATAACTACAAAACACAAGAATAGCTATAAGGTATGAGAAATTTTATGTATCAGTAACAAATACCACTACCTGTGTATAATGCATATGCTTATTTTTCCTCAAAAATTTGAGCAAAAAAAGTGTGCATTATATATAGCAAAATAGAGTAACTCCATGGGCCATGAGATAGATCTGAATGTGAATGTGTGTGTGTTACAGATGTGTGTGTGTGTATATATATATATACACACATATATGTATATATATGAATATATGAGCTGTATTATCACCAGTGTGGGGTGAATTTAAAATTTATCAATTGCTGAGATAGTTAATTAAATGATTTGGCAAAAACTAAAGTTATATCCTCATTTCTTGGTATGCTGTATAAACTCCATATGAAACAAAATTACATGTAAAAATTAATGTATTTCTGTATATAAATATAGTAAAGTAAAAAGAACATGAATAAAGCTTAACTTTTATTAAAACATTGTATTTCCTAAGCAAAAAGCGAACAACAAACTGGGCACTGACTCTCCACAGGTATTATAAGCAAATGTGTAAATAACCTTCATGTGTGAATGAGAGAGAGAGATTGTACAAATCATTGAAGAAGAAACCACTGAGACCATAATAGGTGATTGGGCAAAGGAGAGATCAGATTCTTCACAAAATGGAATTTTAAACTATTAGTAATTATATTTTAAAAATGTTAAATCTCTCAGAAGAATTTAAAATTGAGGACAAAATAACATCCGCTACAAGACAGCACGTCTGCCTGTCAGATAAGAAAGCTCAGTGGGAGTGAATGCAGCAGGAGAAACACTCACAGACTGCATGGGGGAGTGTTGGTTGGTATTGCCTTTCAGAAATCAGTTTGGCATTATAAATCCTTAGCCCTGAGGATATTTATACTCTTTAGTTGTTATTTCAGGTTATTGGGATCTGTTAGAAAGAAATAATCTAAAATACAAAACAAACAAATGGCACAAAGACATAAACTCTATTGATATTCATATTAGTAAAAAAAAATTAGAACACACAAGTATATATAAATAAATGGCATAGGTATCGATGGTACCATATTAAGAATTGCTGGGCGATGAGGCTGAAATATGGTAAAATACATAGATGTATGTTCAGAACAACTAAAGGCTGAGTGGTTTCACAGTGTACTGGACAACTGAGATGCCCAGGAATTCAAATTAGAGACAACAGTGGAAAAATGTGGTCATCACCTAAGTACTTGGAAGGATGTCTTTCTAAGCAACCCCCAACAACAGCAAGAATTCACGATGAGAGAGGACATTTCATTAAATGTCATCTGTCACTTTAATGAGGCTCATAGAAATCTTATGTAGTTTGTATTATTATAAAAGCTCTCATTTATGTTCTGTTTAGACCTATTAATGTTTATACATACTTAAATGGTTATAGAATAAAAATTGTCACAATAAAACAAATAAGAGATCTGCATGAATTAAGTGCATTTGAAAAACACTGATAATTTTCTATTGTAATGTTCCACTAAAATGATTTATGAATACTTCAGAAAGCTTTAGAAGTAGATAGGTATGTCTTTTCTTTTGTTATATTTTAACTTTTGTTATGACATTTGAAATCATCTCAAATTTTTGAAAATATCGGGCATCATATTGATACTTGCCTATAAAATATACTTTCATTGGGAAATTAAATGTGAGTTCAATAATTTCAACTTACGGAACCTCTATTTGTTTGACTCCAGTATGACATTACAATATATGGAGTAATATTCATATGAAAAGTAGCAGGTTCTTCATTTTACCCAGTTATGCAGCCAATTCCCTTTTTTCCCCAGTCGTCCAAAGCATCATCTAGATTCCAGATGTTACCTACCATCTTTATCAAACTCAATTATTCCTCGATGTGCTTTAACAGACATGCAGAAATATATGAACTGGCACTATCAAATTAATAAGTGTTTGTGCAAATCCACACCTTTATAAAAAGATAAAAGCCAGCTCCTGTTGCGAGCTGCAGGGACAACCATACTATCGCCTGGATTTAAATCCACCTCTCTCCCCACCTCCACATCACCGACCTTTCATTATCTTCAGTCTTGGTAAGAATCAATATTCAGAGAGGAAGATGAGGAGCTGGAATCTTGATTTAAGTTTGGATAAGGAAAGGGATTGAGAACACAATTTTTCATGGTCTCTTCAGGATGGAGGGAGAGTAATTGGTGGGACCACACCTATG